CGCAGTGCGAGTTAAATCGAATTTTTTTTCCACATTATCTTGACTGCGTAATTGTCAGCCTAGTTTCCCAAGCTCGCTCTGTTATCAAATATTAATCAACTGTTGCTGTTTACAAATTTTATATATGTTATTCTTACTAATTCATATAATTTATTTCAACGATTTTTTGTCACTAATTCATAAAACGAAGTTTCAGTTATTTTCGTTTTTCTTGTTTTCCCTTATGCGAGCGTAGTTTTAAACGGCCCATCCTTTTTTTCCAGTTCAAATCGCATTAGTTAGTAGTGATCCTTTTTTGTAGCACCTCCGCAGCATAGGAGTTAGCCTAGGCAATTTAATTGCATGTGTTTTATTTGCCTCATTGGTGGCATGTATTTGAACATATCAAGCGCTTATGGCATAGTTGTTAGATATCTGGAAAGTGGGGATTTGATTATCGCAGAGAGCAGGGTTTTTGAAAATTTTAATCGACGACATCTTTACTTATTGTCTTCGGATGTGCTTTAGTTTTTTCGTTTGTTTTTCAACGCAAAATCAGGCACCAAAAATCATCATCAGAAAGGGTCGAATGATTACACCAACGAGTTTGCTAGCGTTAGTGTATTAGTACGAACCTTCTTTTTTTCTAACCTAACTCGCACATAAAAATGTACATCAAATGTGTTCACTTATATGACAAATTCACTGTAGCTTTGAAAATTGCATAGGAAATTGTAGAATTGTAAATTGCATTTATTAAGGGTCCGTGGCGGATAGTATACTTTTTGCATAGTATATGGATTTACTTTTGCGATCAGCTTAGTTTATTATTACGAACCTTTTTTTTTCTATGCTAACTCGCAAAAAGTGTTATTTAAAAGTGTTCGCTTATTTGGAAATTTCAGTGTAGCATTGAAAGTTGCATCGCATCAGTTCTCTTTTTTATTTTTGGGCAGTGTTTGGTGCCTATTAAACTTCCGTGGCTAAGTGTGTGAGACTCTTAATATATAGGTCGCAGATTCGAATCTCAGAGGTAACCGAATTTTTACTAATTCGAGACTTTTTTCTAATTTTTTATGTTGCACTTTATAGAGCTGCTTTTTATCGTGTTCTCGCAATTGTTTGCGAAGCGAAGCTTCGCCTCTAAACCTTGTTTTTTTTCTATTTTTTTTCTGTGAATTGTTCTTTTTTGCCATTTTTTTTTGAAAAGGTCAGTTGATAGAAGAAAGCAAGAAAGAAAGAACCTAAAATTCAAGTAAATTTAACGCCGAGAGGAAGTTTCTTGAAGTGCGTAAATTATGAATTGAAAAAGGCTATTTATAGTTTAAAGATCCTAAAACAATCCTGAAAATGATATTCATTAAAATTCATTTATTCCAATTGACGAAAAAGATATGTAAAGCTTGAAATACGTATAAAAACCACCAATTTATTTGTTTGATTGTGTTCTTTTGCTTTAGACTATTTTTCAGGCCGTTTTTTGGCCTGAATTCAATATTATTTTACAACTCAGTCTGAAATCTCTTCGGCTTTGTGTCTGGAACCCAAAAAGTTTATTATGAAATGTTTAAGATTTTTCCAGTAGCATTCTTATGATAGAGGTACCGAATGACGAGAATTTTCTTTCTACCAATCACAATAGTAAAAAAAAAATGGTATCAAGTTCCTAAAGTGTTCATTAAATGTGTTCACTTATATGAAAAATTCACTAGCATTAGAAATTGCATAGCACGTGTTCTTTGCTTTAGTTGTGGCTAGTGTTTGTGATTTATAAGAGTCCGTGGCTGGTTAGTTGGTGTTTGAGACCCATAGTCTCTAGGTTACAGGTGCTAATCTGAGTCGTAGCCGAATTTTTTTTTTACTAATACGAGGCTTATTTCTACTTTCTTAAATTTCATTTTATAGAACTGCATTTTGCCGTGTTCTGGCTATTTTTTGCGAAGTGAAGCTTCGCCTCTGGGTAAATCATATTGTAGTCATATTCAATCATGATTAAAACGGCATTTAAAAAATCTTCGGAGATTCGAAAAAAAACTGGTTTGAAAATTTTGCTTTTTAGTGCTTTTTTGCTTTGAATTCGAGCCAAAAAAGCGAGTGGTTTGGTATTATAGTAGGAAACGTTTTCAAGGCGGTAAAACTTCTTTTTGTTCCAAAAAAATAGATTTCAAAGCTTCATGCAGAGCTTGCTTGGCAATGAAAAGTAAAGAAGAATCTTCTAAAAAATGAATCATATGATATATATTTTTTCATTTTCGCTTGAGGACAACTTTAGTCGATTATGCCAAATTCACTGAAGTTCTAATCTGTGTTTTTTCTTCTCAACGTACCGGGCACAAAAATCTACGCATTTATGAAAACAAAACATGAATAGTGGTTACTGTGCAAGAAGAACAGAATGTTCCGACAATAGTCTTGGGAAAAAAATTTATTTTCTATTTAGTGTCTGTTTTTCTGCGCGATGTGATAAAAGGGTCAGAACGAAAAACTAAAACTTAGGCATATTCAACGGTCATAGTGAAACAGGCAAATTGGAAAACGGTTTTTGTAGAAAAATTACTAGAAATCGAAAAAAAATCGTAAAAAAAATTCAGTCACTCAACTAGGATAAGTTAGTGTTTGTTTGTCGCTTGAGTTTAGGCCTCGCCAGGTCAAGTGTGGTATCATATTGAAGCTTTTTATCCTTGATTCAGTATCCAGAATTAAAAAAAAAGTTTCAAGAGCCAAACTGATCTGAATTTTCTCGTTTTCCAGACCTTTTTTGAGATCTGCTATTAAATATAGTTTTTATTTCTAAACGATTATTAACTGATTCTTATGACTCATTAAACTATTTAGTTCCTCACTAACTAAAAAATAAATACACACAACAAATGAAGAAAGTTGAAAATAAATATATTTTTTCATATTTTATTAAAATTTGCGTGGTCGAAAGATTCTGTTCTTCTTGTACAGCATCAGCTTGTTCTTTTTTACATTAAGGTTTACTAGATTTTGTTTGAAAGGTGCAGCTCAGTTTGTGTTTACTTTTTCATTGTCAAAGCTAGTTTTTTTTACCCGAGTGCATTGTTAGTACGATGCAAGTTTGCTGCATCAGTAGGCTGCATTAGCATTATAATACCATGGGCTTTGACATTTGATTAGTTATAAATAACACATTTGATGCTTTTTTAATTCATCAATTGAACTGAATTTCCTCTCCATTTTGAGAAAAAAGCTATTTGTTTTATACAACCAGTAATCAAATAAAAATCTTATTTCAGAAATTTTTCAACTCGATATACTTCGCGAGATTTTGGAAATGCATGCTTTATACGCAATAATTTCTAATTTAATACATGCAAAGTTAGCGTAGATACCTTTAGTTAATTATTTTTCAAATTATTACTTGCAAGAAGAGTTTTTGTGCATTATGAAACTCCTAAATATTGCCGCTTCCTCGCTCGCGTTTAAGAGTCGATGAACGTAGTTCAGACTGTTATGTAGGTCGTGATGATTTTTTCTTTGTTTTTTTTTCAGGAAAATTCTTGAAGTTTCTTCTTTCCCTGCGAAATAAAAAAGTTTATCTAATGATATCGAAACAAGTCAGTTTTTTTTTTCTGTTTACTTGCGTTCCAATCCAACAGTTTGTTAGCTATGTTAGCGAAGTTGCAGCTTCGCGTCTGTGTCATAGTTGATTTAAAAAGTAGGTTTTATTTTGGTTTCCAGCAGAATGAAAAATAATCAGCGTATCTCACATTAGAAATGTTTCATGAAGAACGTCGATCATTAAAGTTAGATGCGGCTAGGTGATGTAATGAGTTCTGTAAAACTCAAAAGGTGAAAAATCAAAAACATATCTTTTCAATTGTTTGATGACCATGTTAACATTTGAATTGATGCTATTGTTAAATTGCAACAGCAAAGTTTACATGTGCTTCTAAAGGGCTGTTTTCAACAATACAAGAACCCCTTAATCTGATTTTTGAATACTTAGGCGGATGTTCGTGCATGGCTGATTCGACCAGTGCGCAGACAGTGTCTGCAGATAGCGGCGGCTGAAGTGAACGTTCTGTTACCTCTTCACAAGGCCATGACAGAAAGGTTAATGGCTAAGGTCAACAAAATCACCTCCTGCAGGCTCACTCAGTTCAAAGGCAGAACGGTAAGAACTATTTTTCTATATTTCTAGTATTTGAGCAGATCGAAGTTTTGAGTATCATTTCTATTTTAAGTAACTGGGTTAACGGATGGATGTAATTTTAGAGCAATGTTTGCAAGCTGCAAACGCCCAAAGTTAATGACATGAAACTATTGACGGACGATCGAGAACGTATGGAGAGGAGCAATCGATCTCTAGTAGAGATCGCTATGGCCAGAACCAACAGAATGCCAGTGAGCTACTCGAAAAATATAGCTCATGAGGGCAGTTCGCCGGATGAAGTGAGACTATATCGCGCAGGCAGACAGTTTTCATCCTCGTCCTCAGCATCACAATTTGATAGAAATGGAGCGCGTAATGAGAGCTATTCTAAATCTTCTATACATGGTCTATGAATATTTAATTCAAATCTTTTTCTGTATGCTTCTACCTTTTCCTAATTAGTTATAATAGGTCTTCTGTATTCGTTGATATATTTTTGATTTTCTTTAATGATATTTATGTGAAAAACTGATTCCTAGTTTTTGAATTTGACCAGAAACTTGGACGTCTGATAATTTAAAAATTTGTTTTGTTACCTTTTCTACAAAAATTGTTTCTGGAGTTTTCAGACATCAAAATTGCAAAATTTTATAGATGCATTTACGCCATGGTATGCTTTGATCAAAGTTTTAATGAGATACGGGAGTGCATCTTTGGTTTAACTATTTAAAATTTAGAAAGGGCTATTATGACTTCTGCATATGATTATTTTGATTCCAGAACTTGGCATGATAGAAAATATGTATCTAACTTGGGCTGTGTACGCATTGGTACAATCTCATTCGAAATGACTTGAAACATTGCCGTTTTTTTGGTGTAAATGTGAAACTTCGGGTTTTTCAGATCGCACTTGTGTTACTTTGTGAAAGTAGATTACAGTAACAATTTCGATAGAATTCAGCTCAAAACATCCAATTATGCAGGACAATAACGCGTAAGTGAGCAAAGGTGTTCAAAGTATTTCAACTGACAGGTCAAGACTAGAATCAAGCTATGGTGTCATTTTTACTGTTGAAAGGGCGGTATATAGTCTCCAATAATACGGTTTGGATTGATTTTTTTTAAAATTAGCTTTAAAAGATTTTATGATTGATTTACTCGTTTAAAAAGAAAATTTGATAAACTATACTCAGCTCGGTTAATTTTTGGAACAAGTTGCATGCATGTTGGTTAATATGTCGCATAGACTGGAATTGTCGACCTGGAACAACCTTAACATGACGGTAAAGTGACGTGAATTTGATTTAGCGGCAAGATATTTCTGGGCGGTCTGCCACAGAACTGCACTGAAGAAACGCTCACTCAGTATTTCACCAAGTTCGGGGAGATCATGGAGACTACAGTTGTGCGGGACCACGAGTCGGGAAGACCGAGAGGATTCGGGTTCATCAAGTTCAAGGACCCCGACAGTGTTCAGACTGCTCTGGCATCCGGACAGCACTCTATCGACGGCAAACCGGTCAGTCCGATCATATTCAGTAGCAAATTTACTGTCCGATGTCTTTATTTAGGAAACTTTGTTCTTGTTTTTGAGAAATAGGTTCTTTATTTCTTTGCATCAAAATGTGGCTTTTCGTGAATTGCTTTTACGTTCTCGATAACATAAAAAGAGTATTCGTATCATCGTCAGATTTTTTCGCGCAATGTAGCTTCGTCTCTGTTGATGTTAATCTCCTTATTTTGTCACAGTTTGAAAGAAAACCGCTTTTTAACATGATTTTTAGATTGACGCCAAACCTCTGAGACAGAAGACCTACAACAGTGGCGGCAACTTCAACCACCACCACGCGGGCGGCGGAATGGGAGGCGGTGGGTTCGGAAACCGGGGCAATAGTGGATTCGGAGGCAGAGGGGGTATGATGCGGGGACCTCAAGGCGAGAGGAGGGGTCCGGGAGGGGATGGAGGGGGCAGTCAGCGTCCTGCAGCTGGTGATCACCCCTTCAAGATATTCGTTGGAGGACTACCCAGACAAGGAGCGGATGATCACTCTCTAAGAGAGTACTTCAGTCAGTTTGGGGTGGTAAGTATTATCCTCACTTTCTAAGTCTTAGTTCTTTCTCTGAATCTGACATTCTTGAAGTTTTGAAGACTTGATCAATATGCATAATTGTGTCTTGAACCAAATCAAAGCCGAAAAACAGTTTTAAACTCAAGGTAGTTCATTGTTTTTCAGTTTTCAGTCCTTCAACGTGTTAAAAGTGACACTGAGTTTATGTCAAAGAAATGCAATAAAGACTAACATTTGTGGCTAGGTTGAGAAATTGAAACTTGTTAATGTGTTATATTAAAGAAAAGTGGTTAACTGCTATATACAAGAGTCTCATTGAGTTAATGTTGTTCTAGGTTACTGATATCGTGTTGCCGACTGACAGAGAAACGAGACAGCCCAAAGGTAAAATTTTGTTTACATATCCTCTATGTTTGTATCGCGATCCAATTTTCAATCGGAAAAGACAGGTGATTTTTTATTCCACAAAAACTGGAGTTACTTGAAACATATATTTTTTTCATTCTGCTTGAACCTAAGAAGTTTAATTGTTTTTTTTTCGACAGTGCCTAGCTTTAGCTTTCACTAATTGTTTCGTCAGATTTTGAATTCTAAAATTGATATTTGAAATTGACGGTAAAGATATGTTTTGAATCATTTGAAACTTATCAACGCTTCAATTAATGCATTTTCAAACTCCAGCATGAATTTAAACTACATTTAAACTTTTTGAATATCCTAACTGGCATTGTTTAAGAAATTACTTTCGTTCAAGACTATTTTTATCTTTTCGTTGAATCTTTTGTATGCATTCAATCTTCGAAGAGTTTGATAGTGTTTGGCTTAATCATTTTCAATTAGTATAATATTTAATGACATGAACATGCTAGTTTTCACCTAAACTTTGACAAATTTCTCCTTTCCTGTAAAAAAAAACTTATTTCTTGATTTAATATCTTTTTCCTTGGAGTTAACTCGTCCATATAGAAACCAGTGTTGGTGCTTAAGATATTTCGACTAAATGATACAAAAAATCACTGTGAAGCTCGTTTTCATGATGTTAAATGCATGTGTGGCCGTTTTTGGGCTTAACTCAGCTAGTTTCGACTGATTCAAATCTTCTTGCAAATTTTATTAAGCTTGTTTTGGACAACATTATCATTGATCCGAATTAAGAGCCTCCCCTTAATCTGTTTAGATGGAGGATGTTAGCTTGGATGTGCGTTGTAATTTACAGGAGGGGGGAGGGGGGTCATTGGGTTAGGCTGAAAATGTTCGACTAGTTGCTTTGGCGAAATGTTCGTTAACCAACCCAAGTAAAAACATCTAAAATAGTTATATGATTCGAAGCATAGCTGCACAGGATCTTCCTACTACATCTTTTTGCCAAAAAATGAACCTTTTTAAAGGTTTTTCAAGTATTTTTTATAGGGTTTTGTTGTTTCATGCAATAGGCTGGTTGTGAGGCGATAATTTAAGATGCTCACAGAAATTCATTATAGCTTCGTTTAAAGCTGGTTTAGTTGCGTCGCTTAAAATGTCGTACAAACAATAAATCCTTCAAACATTCATCCACACTTTGCTCTAAAATAGTGTAAACAGATTATATATTCAACCGCTTTTATTTAACATAAAAAGTTAATTGACGTCAAGGGAGTTTTTTGGGAACCTATATGTCGAAACGGAGTCAAAACTGAGAGATTTAGTATGATACCACACTCAACCACCTATGAGTTTCGTTTGAGGTATATAACATCGCCTAGCTGACAAAAGAGCTTTTGGAAATAGTTCCTTTCCAGATCCGGTCCAGTTTAAAACACTGAAAAAACTAAATTTAAATTCAATTTATGACCCTTGCAATAAGCCACGGTATTTCAATCGGGTACTAGACTTTTTTCTCGTAAACAACTTTGTCCACAGAGGGGTTGAAGACAGCAGTCTACGGGACTTCAGGCCGATTTTAATTTTTTTTTCACGCGCATGAAAATGATGCTAGATAGACTACAATTTGTTTTTGTGTGTCGATGTGAAACATTTGGTAGACTAAAATAGTTTTTTGTACTTAAATTTTAATTCAAATGTTTTTTGGAGCTTTATCAATCGTTTTTTTTGAATGCATAAATTGTGAAACGAAAAATTTTATGTATAAGACTTATTTCAAAAATGCATCAATAATCGTTTTTTAAAACAGTGAAAAAGGAAACTTCAGCTAAATGTATGCATAAAAAATACCAATATACTATTTTGAGACCATGATCTTTAATTTTTGCGAACTTTTTCTGTTTAGAAAGTGATTTTTCCTCTCAGAACTGCAAAGTGCTTTTTTTAATACATATTAATTTAATTGTTAGTGAACGTAGGTATGTAGGCACGTTTTGAGTTAAATTTAAATTTATTTGCTTAAAGTTGGGTGAATTGCGCTCATCAATGGTGAAAGGCGAATTGGTGCAAAAAAGTGTGAACAACTAACTTCTACGCCTTAGAGCGGCAAATTTCTAAGAAAATTTATTTGCTTTTTTATTGAGCCTTAGCAACTCCAGCCTCGTTCACACTTGCTTTTGAACCCTCAGGTCTAGGCTTTGAAAACCGACCGGACCCTGTTTTTTCAATGTGTATATGAATTTTTTTCCGGTAGAAATTGAATTGTCGGACTTTTTTCTGCTCAAGTGTTGTCGGCTTAGTTGCCACACAGATTTTTTTTCGCTGTAGTTTTGGCTAGTGTTGTTCATCTTAGTTACCTGATCATTGCAGTTTTTTAAGGTGCTGAGCTTTTTTTTGGCTCAATTGATGTCTGCTCAAAGATTGTCGGCATTGTTTCCGCATGGTAAATTTTGTTCCTTTGATAATTGAATATTCAAATTTGTTGCTTGGCATGTTTGCCTAGAATGAATTTTTATTGACGCGTACGAACATTTTAATAGGCATAGTTTTTTCGCCATTTTTCTTTTTCCAACATGTTTTTTTTTTGTATCGCAACTGATGCCAAGATCTGCTTCGCCTCTGTGTTTTAAATTGGATTAGTTTATCAAAAAATCTGTCAATCATAAATGGTTCTTGAAATTCAAAGAGTTCTAACCTGATACATTTTTTATTCGAAAAATGAATTTGTTCGAGATTCAAAAAGTTTTCAATCATTTTTTTTGTTTTCCTAGTGCTTTGCCCTTTTCAAAAGCACATCCTTTCCACTTGCCTTGTGCTTTGGCTATGTTTTTTTTGGCTCGAAGTCTTCAATTTCGCCATTTGGAATGAAATCTCGCTGCTTGGTGCTCGTTTCTCGTTACGTTCAGACCGACGATTCTAGTGATCAGTGCAATAAAAGTGTCAAGGTTCTTCTGTCGTTCTCGGTAAGCAAATTTTAGTTTGCACTTGCGTCAAAAGTGTTACAACGGCAAAATTAATTAAATTTCTGAGTATTTAGTTCGAGTGATACTTTTTCTTTGTAGAAAAATTCAAATATGTGCGTTCTTATTGGGTTTTTAATGATTTAACGTTTGATTTCTTCATTTTTGTTATCTAAATTGAAAGATAATTACGCTTGCGATAAAAAAAGCGTTGTCAAATCGGAATTAGACTTTTTTCGGGTTAAAAACGAGTTTAACAAAATCAGTTGAATCCTTATGATGCCGATATGCTGCTGACATGCCCAATTTTATGGATTTTTAATTTCAACTATGCGGTACTAGTTACTACTCATGCTATGTCCAGATCTCAAAATATGGTATATATAATTATAGTGTTTTGTTATTCATTTTCTACTGATGATTTTTCGTCTTCATGGTTGTCGGCTTAAGTTCGGTCGGTTAAATTTTCAAATTATGTAGTCTACTTTGCATAGCTTATATAGCTAACGTGGATCCTATGTGGGCGTTTCATGAATTTTTTTCTTATCTTTTTTGACGTAAATTTTCCGATCTTTCACTTAAAATGTCTGATAGGGTTTTTGAGATCAATAAGACTTCAACCCACTAGGACTTTTTCAATAGGGGATCTTATTTCCGTGTCCTTTTTTCAATTGAAAGATAGTTTGAATAACTGTTTCCTGTTTTTTTTAGCGTCATGGTGTACTATTTTTTAAACGTCATGGTATCGCAAGTGGTGCGAAGCTCAGCTTTCAGCTTCGCCTCTGTTAAGCTATCAAACCGGCTAAGCGAATCGAAAACTGATTTTGCTGATTTGTTAGTGGAGTAATCACACAAGCAAGCTAGCTAGTGTAAATTTATATTCCCCTCCTAATTTTTTTTCCAAACAAAATCGCAAATAAAAAATTGATCTTTTCCAAAGTATTTAAAAGTAATGAACGTAGTGAAGACTGTTATATACGTCTCGTGATGTTTTTTCAGGGAAAAGCCTTAAAATGCTCTAATAACTACAGATGTAATTTCATACATAAGGATGCATTTATGAATGCACTTAGTTATATATGCACTTTTTGAGTTCAATCGAAATTCATCAGCTGAAAGTGACGTAAATTGCACTTTCCAAATAAGAATTTGAAAGCGGCGCGAAAAAAATGTGAGCAATTGCTAGTTTCGAAAGTGGAGTTTAATTTTTTATTTAGATTTCCTGCCGAATAAAATATTTACCTTTTGATCCAATTTTCTCAAGTTGGGTTAATGTTCTCAGAAAAGTGCCAATCATACATTGTTCTAGAAATTCAAAGAGCTTAACGGGCATCTGTTTTTTTGAAGTTCGTCAGTTGGGTTTTTCAACAAATTCAGTGTTTTTTCTGTTTACTTGCGTTCATTACTCTTTTGCAATTCAGTTGGCTATGTTCATGATGTGAAAGCAAGTTTTTGTTTTGACCATCCTCTATGGCGAGAAAAACTTTTTGGAATAGGTTTTCTTATGTTTTCGTATACCTCAAGAAAGCGAACAGGTGAGCGAAATTAATATCACGTTAAAGGCTTTGTTGCTGTGATTGGAATTACGAAATTATGTTTTTAAGTCTTCGGTGTTCAGAGAATTTTCTTCGGCTTTCCAGATTATTTGTTGAGGAGTAGTTTAATTCATTTCAACAGTGATCTCTATTTTTAATTTAAATATTTTTCCGCCACCTAGTGACGGTAAATTACTTCATTTCAAAATGATTTTATGATCTGCTTTTCTTGTACAGGTCACGTTAGATATGTTTTTTTGTTTCGTTTATTTTTTGCCTGTCTTATCATGTTGAATTCCAACTGAAATTTTTTAATCATTTCTTGCTGTGCTCACGGTTTCAGTTGAGCTTTCGTTTTTTCTAATTGACTACATTTGCTAAAGCGACATCATAACGATTTCCCATCTGCTGTCAAAATTAACTATGTTCCCCATTAGATAAAAATTTACTCAAAATTATTGATAACCATGATATTTATCTATGAACCTTGGTTTACGTTTTAGTGCTCAAAATGGTGGATGAAAGATTCAATTTAACATATTGATTGCTTTTTAATCAGTGTTTAAACCTGGAATTATCTAAAAATAGCTAGATTTTCGTTTATCTTTGGTAAATTTTATTAAATTGTCTTCATACAAAAATCGTTTTCTTCGCGTTGATTTCAAGTTCATTCAAAAAATGTGCGGGTTTGTGGTCCAATTTAATGATAACTTCAATATAACTAATAATGAAGGCAAACAAATGTGAAATCGGGTGGTTGGTTATTGGTCTTTTACGATTTGAGTCAGAAATGCAAATTTAAATCAGTCCTTGTTCTGTTGCTACACGATTGCGGTAAATATTATAATGTTTAACCCATGTGTTTGCGAGAATGTTTTCAGGCCTTTTCAGCACTCGATTCGCTCGACTATCGACAAGTCTTGTTCTCATCAAACGAATTGTGTTGTGACTGTGGCGTGTGTGTCGTTTAAGGCTACGGGTTTCTCACCTTCGAGTCTGAGGAAGGGGCAGCCAATGCGACCACGAAGAGATTCCAGGACATAATGGGCAAAAAAGTATCCGCTATTGTTATTACTACTACCTTTGATACCACAAAAATAATTTCAAAAGATTTTAGCAGATACATATCCCGTGTCTGTTGACTGAGTAAACATCTTTGATTTTAGGTCGCCTCTCTCAAATCCTTCTTTTTAGAATCGTTCGAAATTATTCATTTATTATTTAATTATATTCGATTAGTTCAATTATTTATAGGTAAAACGTGTAGCTAAACATCCTTGATTGGAAATTTTCATTTTTAATTCAACTGCATTTAATCTAAATTAGTCGGAAATGAATTGTTTAATTTGCAATAGTAGGCTTTTTGAGCCATTTTCATTTGCTCATGGATATACAGTTGCTCAGTTCTCTCATTGTCGATTTAATAAATCTGCTTTTGATTTCCGTTAGAAATTTGTCACTTTAGGGGAGATCATAATCATTAAAATCAAAGTGATGTCTTCAAATGATGTGTATATGGATATAAACAGAACTAATAGTACAGTTATAGCATGTATTTTATTTTCCTGAGTAAGAGTAGAACGCGTTTAAAAAAGCGCCCTTTCCAGAGGTCACTGGCCGTTCTTATGTTTACAGTTGATTGGGATTGCGATATAGTTTTTTTCGTTAATAACTTGTTCAACAAAATCACTTGATTATCTGTGATGCTGCTGTGCTCAATTTCTTGAAAATTAAAATTTAACTGCTGGCTTCTAGTAACTACCGGTATATGCGATTTTTAGGTGCGTATTGTAAATTCGCTTGTGTTAAAATAGGTTTTCGATATTAAAATAATATTTCCATTTCGGTAAAGGTGCCCTTCAAGTAAAAGTAACTGAAAAAAGACGGAGTTTGTTGCGTTGTTTCCTTATTTACGCAAGACCTTGTGTTATATTACCAGATCTTTTTTTATTTATATAAATCGCCTACTTCATTGCACGGTTTTGGTATAAAAGTTGCATTGCGTAACAGTTTAAGCAGCATGCCGTATACTCTTTTAGTTTCTATTTGATGATGGTTATTTCCAATTGCGGATTTAGAGGGTAGCCCTTTCGTTATTTTCTATTATCATCCATTTTTGTCTGATCGACCCTATAATTTTTTTAAAGGCCTCTTCAGCGCCAATATATACTGCATTTGAGAAGAAAAAAGTGCTGAAAAAACGGAATTTTTTGGTCAAAACCTTTAATTTTGGCCTGTTTTGTCGTTTTTGGTCTTTTTTTGCCACCATTGGGTTTTACTACGTTTTAAAAGAGATCGAAAATGTATACAAGATACATGGGACTTCGTGCTTGAAGGCATTTGACTTTAAATCGCACGTAATTGGTTTGAATCCCTAGTTTCCAAGTGTTGTGCACAGAGTTGGAACTGGGCCCGGGATTTTTACGGGCCGGGTCGGGCTAGGGTCTCATTTTTTGATTCAGCAACCGGGCCCGTGGCCTGACTTTCAAAAAAATTCACACCTTTCACACTTCACTTCAAGATTTTCAATTTACTTTTTGTACGAAATTCGTGATTTCATTTAAAATGGGCCCGGGCTTGCAGTTTTTGTTTCCCATCCCGGACCTGAAGCAACCGGGCCTTAATTTCAGGCCCGGTTCCAACTCTGTTTGAGCATTTTGAAGGCTGGTTTTTCTCTCAGAATTATAATTTTTCGTGGCTTGAATTTTCATTTTTCAAGTTCACTTAAAAATCAGGTTGCCAAATTGAAGCCTAATAAAGCTCTCCAATCACGAAAGTCAATTTGGCGCATAAAAATTATGGATTTTTAATTTCAATGTGGGCTTAGATTTCCCGTTGACACCTTTAATTGGCTGTATGTTTATTAAGCAGTTAATTACCGCAGGCTTTGTAATTGAGAATAGCGGGAAAAACGACAAGATTTAGCGGCTCTTTTACACTTCCCCCTGAATTTCAATTTTGAAAAACTATGTTAACATCGTCTTAATCCAATGAAATTTGGCATATTGATTAAGCTAACAATTTTGAACATATTTATACTTAACAAGGTAAAATTGCGCGTAACATCTAAAACAGCTCAAAAGTAGCAAGTTTGAAAGGTGTGAGAAAAGTGGAAAAGAGCCGGTTTAGCTTCATCGAAAGTTATCAGTCAAATCATTTGAAAAAATTTAGTATTTCACTCCCTCAGTTAGATAATTGGTATCAAACGGCTTCTTCGCTGTGTTAGGTTAAAACTTAACTGTTTCAATTTCGTTGAGTCTCTCCATTTTGTATCGTATAATTTTGCCAAGTTCCAATTAAAATCGTGCAATGTTGTTCTGATTTGAATAGTCGTTTTAATTTTTATCTAATGGTTTCAAATTAACCTAAATACAGCTTTAACAACAATGTTCTGATGAGATTATGAATTCGTTTATTTACTCTTATCGGCTTGAAGCATTTAACATCTTTGTTATTTAAAGCATTGTCTGAAGTAGTTTTGCATCTTTTCAAAGTTTTGTCTTTAAAATGGGCTATGAAATTATTATTAAATTGATGAGAATTACGGGGTATCTCTTTTGCTAAACATGATACTTTAAGTTCTACTTATAATCTGTAACGAAATTTTCGAGTGGTGTATGGTACAGTGAGTGTTTCGTCGCATAGTTTCAACCACACCCCACCTCTCTCCTCTTTCAATCGTTTCCGGAAATCAAATCATTTAGTTTTATTTATGGACTCAACGTTGCAGCTTATGCGAAGCAAATTTAATGACACTACTTTCTGTTTGCTGTTATAAAATAAAAATCAGATTTACTTCAGATAAGTTCGAAAAATTTTCTGTCAAACTTTGTTTCAATGAACGGTAGATTTGAAGCGTTAATGAACGAATAATCAACTCGTTTCGCTTGCTTAAACTTACATAATTTCGATAAAATGTTGGTTGAAATCAAATAACCGTATTTGAATAATATTTTGCTTGATTTTTTTTTAGATAATTTTAATTTGAATAGAACGTAATTAGATATATAAAGTATCTATAAATTACTGTTTATATTTGTTATACAGATTATCTGAAAATTTCAAATCATCCAAAGTTAAATTATATTATAACGTTATATATTATTATTTCCTTCGATTTTTGAAACTGATTTTGAGGTTGCGAACAGGTTAGTACATTTTTTTTTGTATATTAGAACCCACGGTTGGTTAGATTTTGAAATATGAGTTTCAAGAATTCAAGTTTCTGGGTTCTATAGCTTACTTTTTCTTGCAGGTGGAGGTTAAGAGATGCGACAACCGAGACAGACAGAGTCGGCAGAACTTCGACGGACCGGGAGGGGGAGGAGGACACCAGCAGGGCTTCATGCAGCAAGGAGGAGGATTCGGAGGAGGGAGTAGGGATCATCATGGAGGCGGTGGGGGTTATCATCATCAGCAGCAACAACAACACGGTGGGCCAAATAGCTATGGTGGGGGAGGCGGTGGTGGTTACGGCCAGGGTGGGGGCTCATCGGCCGGAGGAGGCTACGGTTATGATGGCCAGAGTGGTGGTGGGAGCCAGGGTGGCTACGGGGGGTCACATCAGTCTCAGCAACAACCTAGTCAGCAATCTTTCCCAGGCGCTTATCCTGGTGAGTTTGCTGTATAGATGACATGTTGATGTTGCTATTATATACTGCTGTTGATAGATTTTATTGAACATACCAGGTTCGACTCTGTTTGAAACCACGATGACTCAAAATGTCACAGCAAAAAGGGTTAAATAATATGTTATCTGTGTTGCACAGGCTTTGGATCGTACCAGCAGTCTAACGCCCAAGGTGGTGCTGGAGGAGCTGGGGACTCCAGCAGACAACAGAGCCAAATGATGCCTAATATGTTTGGCCAGTCCGGAGCTCAGGCAGGCCAGCAGCCTCAGCAGCAGTACCCTCAAGCCGCTGCCGCAGGAGTCCCGGGAAGTGGTCCTGCAGGATTCAACATGGCTGCTGCTATGCAGGGAGGTGCTGGCGGAAACCCTGGAAGCCAACAGTCACAGGCAGCTGCTTACAATCAGTATGCACAGTTATGGTACGCGTCTTTACAAGCTCAAGGTGGTGCAGCGCAAGGGACCCCGGGATCGAACCCGGCAGCTGCCAACCCAGCCGCAGCTTCAAGTCAGGCAGATTTAGCAGCCAATTACCAGAACTACCTAATGCAATACCAGCAGCAGAATCAGAACGCAAGCCAGTCTACTGTTTCGGCCATGGGGTCATCGGGAGGTGCAGCACCTGTTGGAGTGCCACCACCCAACGTGGCAGGTGCTCCAGGCGCCTCATCTGCCGGCCAAGCTAATGCTACAAACCCTGCGGCTGCTGCCAATGCGTTCAACTTTCAAGGTACATCACATTTTCACAGTCGCTCGGAGCAACGTAAGTCGTTTAACGTTGTTATTGGTATCTACAGTTAATTCGAAATTCCTCGCTATATCTTTGTAGTCACAGATGCACCGCGCATGTGCATCTTGATCCGCATCAATTTTTTTCCTATCTATTATGCAGTTCATGGATTTGGTTTTTACCAAAAAAAATCATTTAAATGATTTTCTGGAGACTATTTTTATTCACAAATTGTCTACAGAAGCAGGAGTTTTCCGCAATGAAGCGTGTTTGGTTCCTCTTGAAAATTCACGTTTTTGTTGACGTTGTACACGTTTTAACACCGTTTTTCTCCAAGGTTGTTCACCGTTTGCCATTATTAAGTGTCAATGAACGAAATTAAGACACTCATTAAGGTCGTTCTTTTTTAATAACATGCTGCATGAGCTTGTTTGACCAGGGCTGAGCTTGAGGAGCAACTGAAATGTCGAAGTAGACCTATATTTCGAGCTTGAAAATGGAGGTTTCTGCGTCGTTGAATGCCTTGTAGAGGCACAAAGAAGTGATCATACAGCTTGGAGTAATTTTATTAGTTTTATATTAAGTATGAATGTTTGTCAGGTTTTTAAAAAGAATTAATGAGTCGTGAAGATACTTTTTTTTAGGTCTTGATGATTTTTTTTTGTTTCAGGAGAGTCTTAAAATTTGTTCACGCTCAAATTTTTTTTGCTGTTTGATTTTTGATTTCTTACTCTGCTATGGAATGGCACAAGTTTAAAGGTCTCGTATATGGAACGGCACAAGCATAATTTTAATTTTTAGATTTTTTTTGAAGAGATCAAGGTCATGTATTATTTCTTTAATACTCGAAAATTGAAAACTGTTTTTTTTTCATTTTCCCGACTGTCTGTCTGATGCAGATGTTCAGAGTAAGTGCCATTAAATTTCAAAATCCCGATATTTATTGGGCTTAAAAAATTAATCAGCTGCTTTTTGGGTTTATTTTTTTTAACCACTCATTTTCAATCTCACTCATTTTTTTAAATTTCACTTTCTACCGTTTAACCAGTGATGACCAGATTATAGTATTCTATTATAGTCCATAATAGCGTGGCTATCATAATGCGCTATTTTGACACGTCTGTTCTATTAATAGAATTACTATAATAGAACGCTATAATCACAGCTATTGCCGAGCGCTGATCAAAGTAGCTAATATTTCATTGGCTGACGACTTGAAATCTCATCTTTTAGCTTACACTGTGTAAGTTACACATAAAATAACATTCGTTGCATATCCTTTTATCTGCAATATCTTTTAGCTTACACTGTGTAAGTTACACATAAAATAACATTCGTTGCATATCCTTTTATCTGCAAAAACTACCTATCTTTGCTCGTTTTTGCTCCAGTGTTTGAAATGGCACCAACTAAATTGGCAAAACGGATAAAATTGGAGACAGCATTTGAGTTTATGGCATCTGAAAAGTGTTACAAGTGCACAAATTGCAACAAAAGTTTGGAAGGAGTTAAAAGTAGTAATTTTCTTACTGGAGCTGAACGGCATATTCAAAGGTGTAACCCTGCTTTCTTCAACGAATCAAATCAATTACTTATAACCAGCATGGGAACGCTGACAAATGACGTTAACGCTTCACGATTGGAAATGGTCAGAGAGTTTTCCAAGACAACTATACCAATAAATATTTTCAGATCCAAACCAAACAGAGGGTTTCTTCAAGCTGTTCAGAAATTGTCATCTGTACCCGATTATAAAACCGTAGAGTCAGACATGAAAAAAATGGAAACGTATTGTTTGAGCGTCCTGAAAGGAGCCTATCATTATGGGGTGCAATTGGATCATTGGAAAGACAACAAAGGTAACAATATTCTTGTTATTTTGGTGTCTTTCCTTACGGAAAACTATCAACCCGTTGTTCAAGTTATACTTTCTGTCGGTCAAATAGTGGTCCAACGCTTTCGGAAACTCGATGGTATGGACACTTTCGTCAAATAGAATTTCTTCATCGCAATCAAGACCTGGTGACGACACATAGATTAGAGCGGCCAAGCACCTACTCAGAACTTGATGGCCTGGCTATCAAAAGTATGCATGACATGACGTGCTGTTGAAATTGACTGTACTCGGCAAATTTTTCGAAACCTCCAACCCTGAAACTGATCAAGTATTGCCCACTGTCAGAAAAGTCGAAACTGCTCTTGACCGTGTTTCTAGACTGGATGTTATCCATCAAACTGCGCGCAATTTTTGTGTAGTTGTGCTCAGGTTCATGGACCGGAATTCTAGGTTCAGAACTTTTTCTGATATCATTTATGCAGCTACCCTTCTCAACCCAAATCGAAGTGACAGAAACAAACTGTCAAGCACGGAGTATGAAAAAGGAAACCGTTATCTACTTTCACTGGCCCATACTATAGCTGGCTCGGAAATTTCTGCTGTGTCTCCCGAGATGAACGATCTCGATGCAGTGTTTTCAGACGAACTTACAGTTACACAGCATTTTGGTATCGATTCCTTCAAAACAGAGCTGACTGCTTATCTCACACACACTGATGAAAGATGTACATCTTTTGAATTTTTCCGCCAGCCGAGTACTCAGTGGCCTTTTTTGAGGAAGTTGTCCAGAAGCCTACTGAGCATACTTCCCTCTCCGGATGTAGCTGAAAGAGTCTTTTCGAGGGCGGGCTATTTATCCATTGACAGAAGAAACAAGATTTTGCCCGAAAATCTTAAAACTCGTTTGATAATAACATCGTATTGAAATAAAGTTTCAGCTCTGAAAACGAGTTTTTTTCAAATCCAATTTTTTAGGAAATCTATTATAGAATACTATAATCAAAGTATTATAGAATTTTGAGGATTATATTCTGTAATCGACGTTAATAGGGTCATCACTGCGTTTAACGCATTAATTAAAAAATACCACTAAATTTTAGCGTGCCTAATTAGTTTAATACCTTATTAGTCCTGTTTCATTTGGTTTAGTTTTGTTGAAAAGAGACAATCATTTAACTTTCGGGAAATTCAAAGAGGTTTGAAATTTTGGTTCATTGGCATTTTTCATACTGTACTGTTGGTTGTCATTTTTTAATTTTGACATTTAAAAGCAATTGTCTTGAGGAATAGCTGTTGAAACTTAAAATAGCCCCAAAGAACCTTGACGAGTCCAAAAAGCCAAACGATTTCAAATCCTGCAGTAACAATGAGTATTATGAATTTAAAAAGAATTATTGCCTTGCAGGATATCAACAGTCTCCAGCCCAAGGTAGCCCAGCTGCTGCCGGATTCGGAGGAGGAGTGAACCCTGCAGGTAGTATGATGCCCAGTGGTGCAGTGATGGGCAATCCGGCTGCTGCTGCCTCAGGACAACCCAATTCCAGCAACGACATGTATGCCCAGATGTATGCCCAATATATTGCAGCCATGAATTCCCAGCAGAACCCGGCAACGGCGGGAGGAGCTGTAGTGCCTCAAGGCCAAGGACGTTGAGTCTTTCAAGGAAATGCAGTACATTGAGGAATCAAAAGTTGTATGATGGAATGTGTTGGGTCAAACGAAATGACTAACAGAAGAGATTTAAACAGTACAATACTGGGAGTAACTCGCAATATATTTGATCGACCAAACTTGCTTTTATCTTTTTACTCTTCATTGTAGCCGTTCATGTTCAATTGTGTTTTTGGGTTTAAGAATAGACTAGATGTCTCGCAAATTTGTGGATGCATGATTCTGAATTTAAACTATGTTATCTCTTCCTTGTAACCAGAATCCTATTTGCACGCGAACCAGACAACCTATGGACTAATTGAGTCCTAGAAAGTGTTCACAGTTCCAAGGCTAAGTGATCGTAGTTTTATTTTACAACTACTTGAGGTGAAATCAGTTCAACTGAACTTACTTGTCTGATAGATAAAATGTTATTTCAGTTGCATCGCCCGGTTTGGAATTACAAACGAGTTTAATCTTTCAATCGTTCACTGTTACTAACTGATCAAGAATGGAAGACAATGTCTCAACAGTAAACAGCCTAATCAGCAAAATGATCAAAAAATGCCAGAAGGAGGAGGAAAGGTCTGCGGAAGTCCAGAAAACGTTGGGCTAGTAGTTCAGCTGCAGTTGTGGAGGAACTTTGTATTTGGGTGTATTATAGGTTTCATCGCAATATTGTTTTCATCGCAAAATCAGGTACCATGAATCATCGGATTGGTTCGAGTAATATATCATAAATTAGCTATAAAATTTCAAAAATTTAACTTCCAAAACTAATTTTCCCGGAGTCTTTATGAGGCCTTGTTTGCTTTACTAATTCAAAATTAGACTATATTTCAGACCAGGTCTTCTCGACACGAACAAATTTTTAAAAATTGGTTATCGTCGTTCGAATCACAACTGAAAAGTTTCTCCCCATTAATAAGGAATTCACAAGGAATTTTGTTGATAATACTACATAGGTTTTTCACAAGGTACGAAGTTTCATGAACTTTTTAAACTAAGCATTAGAGCTAAACACTGCCTACTTTACTTTCAAATCAGTGTCAATTGACAACCAAAAGAAAACTGAGACTTTCAAGCGTATAAAAATGAGAAACAAAACAAGCTGAAACATGTCAAAAATGATGAAATTATAACCAGATCGCAAAAACGCTTGAACCGCGGAACCGAAAAACAAAGAGGTTAAATCTCCATTCTTTTTAATTTGACAGCATACTCGAGCAGCAGATGACAATTTTTTAAACAGAAGAAGCAATAAAAAAGTGACGCTTACTTCACTTCTTTTCAAACAATCGAAACATTTCCGTATAAACACAAGAATAGCCCGTTGCTGTGCATGAAGCACAGGTTTTAAGACCATAGTCTAAAACAACAAGTTTTTTTCCGAAATAAGGTAATTTTTCTTAAAATTGGTGTTATTTTTCTGCGTGGTGTTATGAAAGGATCTAAGGAGAATCTGAACTAAAGCCATATTCTTCAGTCACAGTGAAATAGGCCAATCGGAGAACGCATTTTTGTCGAAAAATTGGAAAAATAATTCAACAGTGTTTTAGTTTTTTTTGCAGGATGTGTTTTATATCTTTGGTTTTTTAGTCCAAAAATGGCGGTAAAAGTTTTTGAGTTTATCATTTTCTAATAAACCTGTTTGTTTTACTCGCTCGAAATTAGATTCAAATAAAAAATTTAAACCATTTTTTTTTCGACACCTGGTCAAACTTTTGAAAATTTCTCAAAGTCGTTCGAATCGCAAATTTCAAGGTTATCCTTTTTCAAGAAAAATAAAAAAATGTATTGTGTTTTGTCGATAATACTTAACAAGTTTTTCACTTGGTTAAAGGTTTCTTGCGTTTCTTTCAACTCTAGAGCTAAACACTGCCTAATTTACTTGCAAATCAGTGACAATTGACAGCCGAAAAAAACTGAAAGATTTCAAAGCATATAAAAGTGAGAAAAAAAAACAAGCTGAAACATGTCAAAACTGATGTAAAAATTTTTAAGATTTCAAAAACGCTTAAAATTCGGAACCGACGAATCAAGGAGTAAGATCTCCCTTCTTTTTATTTAGACAGCTTAATTGAGCAGCAGACGACAATTGTTTAAACAAGAAGAAGAAAAAGAGTGACGTTTACTTCTATCGTTTTCAAACAATCGAATCATTTCCATAAAAAACAAGAATAGCCTGTGGCTTTGCATGTATCACCGGCTTTCCAGACCATGTTCTGGAAAAAAAACAAGTTTTTCAGAATAGCGTAATTTTTCTAAAAATAGTGTATTTGTTTTTCTGCGTGGTGTGATGAAAATATCTCAGGTGAATCTGAAATAAAGCCATATTCGGCAGTCACAGTGAAATAGGTAGGCTAATCGGAGAACGGTTTTTGTCGAAAAAATACGCGAAAAAATGTCAAAAAATGTTCTAGTTTGATAATAATTTTTGCAGGAATTGTTTTGTATCTTTTATTTTTTAAGTTAAAAAATGGCGGTGAAAGTCTTTTAGCTTATCATTTTCTATTAAACGCGCTTGTTCGCTTTACTTGCTCGAAAGTAGACTAAAAATTTAAAATTCAAACCATTTTTACTCGCAAAATCAGGTACCATGAATCATCGGATTGGTTCGAGTAATATATCATAAATTAGCTATAAAATTTCAAAAATTTAACTTCCAAAACTAATTTTCCCGGAGTCTTTATGAGGCCTTGTTTGCTTTACTAATTCAAAATTAGACTATATTTCAGACCAGGTCTTCTCGACACGAACAAATTTTTAAAAATTGGTTATCGTCGTTCGAATCACAACTGAAAAGTTTCTCCCCATTAATAAGGAATTCACAAGGAATTTTGTTGATAATACTACATAGGTTTTTCACAAGGTACGAAGTTTCATGAACTTTTTAAACTAAGCATTAGAGCTAAACACTGCCTACTTTACTTTCAAATCAGTGTCAATTGACAACCAAAAGAAAACTGAGACTTTCAAGCGTATAAAAATGAGAAACAAAACAAGCTGAAACATGTCAAAAATGATGAAATTATAACCAGATCGCAAAAACGCTTGAACCGCGGAACCGAAAAACAAAGAGGTTAAATCTCCATTCTTTTTAATTTGACAGCATACTCGAGCAGCAGATGACAATTTTTTAAACAGAAGAAGCAATAAAAAAGTGACGCTTACTTCACTTCTTTTCAAACAATCGAAACATTTCCGTATAAACACAAGAATAGCCCGTTGCTGTGCATGAAGCACAGGTTTTAAGACCATAGTCTAAAACAACAAGTTTTTTTCCGAAATAAGGTAATTTTTCTTAAAATTGGTGTTATTTTTCTGCGTGGTGTTATGAAAGGATCTAAGGAGAATCTGAACTAAAGCCATATTCTTCAGTCACAGTGAAATAGGCCAATCGGAGAACGCATTTTTGTCGAAAAATTGGAAAAATAATTCAACAGTGTTTTAGTTTTTTTTGCAGGATGTGTTTTATATCTTTGGTTTTTTAGTCCAAAAATGGCGGTAAAAGTTTTTGAGTTTATCATTTTCTAATAAACCTGTTTGTTTTACTCGCTCGAAATTAGATTCAAATAAAAAATTTAAACCATTTTTTTTTCGACACCTGGTCAAACTTTTGAAAATTTCTCAAAGTCGTTCGAATCGCAAATTTCAAGGTTATCCTTTTTCAAGAAAAATAAAAAAATGTATTGTGTTTTGTCGATAATACTTAACAAGTTTTTCACTTGGTTAAAGGTTTCTTGCGTTTCTTTCAACTCTAGAGCTAAACACTGCCTAATTTACTTGCAAATCAGTGACAATTGACAGCCGAAAAAAACTGAAAGATTTCAAAGCATATAAAAGTGAGAAAAAAAAACAAGCTGAAACATGTCAAAACTGATGTAAAAATTTTTAAGATTTCAAAAACGCTTAAAATTCGGAACCGACGAATCAAGGAGTAAGATCTCCCTTCTTTTTATTTAGACAGCTTAATTGAGCAGCAGACGACAATTGTTTAAACAAGAAGAAGAAAAAGAGTGACGTTTACTTCTATCGTTTTCAAACAATCGAATCATTTCCATAAAAAACAAGAATAGCCTGTGGCTTTGCATGTATCACCGGCTTTCCAGACCATGTTCTGGAAAAAAACAAGTTTTTCAGAATAGCGTAATTTTTCTAAAAATAGTGTATTTGTTTTTCTGCGTGGTGTGATGAAAATATCTCAGGTGAATCTGAAATAAAGCCATATTCGGCAGTCACAGTGAAATAGGTAGGCTAATCGGAGAACGGTTTTTGTCGAAAAAATACGCGAAAAAATGTCAAAAAATGTTCTAGTTTGATAATAATTTTTGCAGGAATTGTTTTGTATCTTTTATTTTTTAAGTTAAAAAATGGCGGTGAAAGTCTTTTAGCTTATCATTTTCTATTAAACGCGCTTGTTCGCTTTACTTGCTCGAAAGTAGACTAAAAATTTAAAATTCAAACCATTTTTACTGGAAACTGGGTCAAACTTTAAAAAATTTGTTAAGGTCGTTTGAATCGCAAATGAAAAAAAAAGTTCTAAGTTCTCCCATTTTTCAAGGAATTCAAAAAGTGAATTGTCTTTCGACAATAAGACTTTACAGGTTTTTCACAATGTAAAAATTTCTGGAATTTTTTTTAAACACTAGACCTAAGAAGTGCCTAATTTACATTTAAATCAGTGACAATTGACAGCCGAAAGAAAACTAGACTTCAAAGCGTATAAAATTCAGAATTTAAACAGAAGCTGAAAATTGTCAAAAATGATGAAAAGTTTTTTAAGATCTCAAAAACGCTCAAACCATGGAACCGAAAAACCAAGGGGTTAGATCTCCCTTTTTTATTTAGGCAGCATAATCGAGCAGCAGACGAAAATGGTTCAAACAGAAGAAGCAATAAAAAATGAAATTTACTTCACTTCAATCAATCAAATCATTTCCGTATAAAAACAAGAATAGCCGTTGCCGTGTATGAAGCACAGGTTGTTCCGACCGTTTTCCGAGCTTTTTTTTCAAAATAGTGTAATTTCTCGTAAAAAAAAGTGAAATAGACCAATCGGAGAACGCTTTTTTGTCGAAAAATTGGAAAAAATATTCAACAGTTTTTTAGTTTTTTGCAGGATGTGTTTTATATCTTTAGTTATTTAGTCCAAAAATGGCGGTAAAAGTTTTTAAGTTTATCATTTTCTAATAAACCTGTTTGTTTTACTCGGACGAAATTAGATTAAAATCCAAAATCTAAACCATTTTTACTCGACACCTGGTCAAATTTTT